GCCTTGTGCCACATACATCCCTCGTGGAGGGGGGGGACTGTTAAATATTAACAGTGATATAGACTGAAAGCTGGTCAACCGACACGCACTCCAAAATCGTGTGACACACTTCTGTTGTATTTACTGTTCATTTATCTGCAACCGCTTGTTTTGTTATTTCTTAAACATTTACTTGGTCACAACAAAGTGTGAAACGGACAATGGAAGAAGCTGCCTGAGTGGAACATCCTCTTTACAAATAGAATAAAAAAGAAATGATGATGAATCTGTCGACGTAGCATGATATCGGGTCCTAGCTGTGAACGTTTGGACCGGTCGAACCGAGGAATGAAAATAGTAGCGAGAGGCTAGAAATGTTTCGTCTGTGGATAAAAGTGGTTGTAGCGGGAAACAATCCAACCTCTACTTTCCTTTTTTTTGGGGGGTGGAGGAGGGGAATGATGAATGTGAGTGTCATCCGGAATCCATATTAGCTTTTAAAAAGCTTTTTTGGTGGTGGTGTATACATCATGTCATTATTTTCGTTCACTTATTCAATAGCAAGCCTAGATTTCCTCCTGGCACAATTTGCAAAATTTATCGACCCCTCCCCCCCCAGCATAGCTCTCACTTTTCTTTACAATGTTTCACCTTATATTCGATTGAGTGTTCTCTGTATCATCTTTTATTTTCCACATATGTCTAGACAGAGCAATGGTCTTACGATACCTACTCAAGTGAACGATGTTTCCCTCGGTCGAACCAATAATAATTCATATACCCTCTGACGAGCGAACGGGGCGATTGCTCGAGTGTCCGTCGACAGAACTCTAGAGTCGGGATGATGAGGTGACAAATTTTCTATTTGTACTAATCCTATATATATGTACTAATCCTATATATATAGGTGTACTAACTATATATATACTGTCTAATCCTATATATATCGGGGTACTAATCCTATATATATATATGTACTAATCCTATATATATATTTAATCCTATATATATACGTTCTAATCCTATATATATATGAACATATTTTATGTACTAATCCTATATAATATATATAATCCTATATATATACTAATCTATATATATAAATATATATTTTACATACGTTCTATCTATGATATTGAACATTTTTAGAAATAAATCTGATAATATAAATTTACTACGAAATGAACAAATCTGATAATTATTTTAAGTTTAGCTACAGAAAAAAAAACATAAACCGAAGATAACTTTGTCTATTTCGTAGTGTGTGACGTCATTTGTTTACGTTTGGATACGCTTCGAGGAGACATGAAAATTCGAGGGAAATCATGGAAAATTGTAGTTTAAAAGCAGTAAAATCGACCTGGATAACCAGACGCTTGTCTGTCGCTAAACTGGTTTAGCACGTCGAGCTATATGACAGTTCCATGTAGAGATGCAGGTTCGATTCCTGTTGGAGGACATATATTTTCTATGAAAATTTCTCGAACATTCAGGCCGGTAAATTATGTTAATACTGTTTATTATAAACAGAGTATTTACTTGTATCTATAAAAAAAAATAAAATATATATTAAGAAGAAAATTTAAAAATAAATATATATATTTTTATTAAAATATATATATATATATATATATATATATATTTATATATATATATATATATATATATATATATATATATATATATATATATATACTGTTTATACGTTATTTTCATGGATACAAGTTATTTGAGTAAATGCTCTGTTTTTAATTAAACTTTATTAATTACATTTACCGGCCTAAATATTCGAGAAATTTTGAAGAATCTGTGTCCTCCAACAGAAATCGAACCTGTATCCTATGCAGAAAACGTCATTTAGCCTGATGTGCTGCAAAAGATTCAGCCACAGAGAACTTAGCAAATCTCAAATCACTGCTTATAAACACATATATTCGATGAGCTTTCTCTTTGTTAAACCGGAAGTCCTCTCTGTTCAGTCGGTTAACCGCACGTCAAGACAAATGACGGTTTTTCCGTATGGGATACAGGTTCGATTCCTTGCCGAGGACGCATATTTTCTGCGAAATCTCTCGAATATTCTGGCCGATAAATGTAATTAATACTTTTTAACCAAAAACAGACTATTTACTCCAAATAAGTTGTATCCATAAAAATAACGTATAAACAGAAAATATATTAAAATATTTATCTGATTTAATCCACTACATATTATATATTTTGTTGCTCAACTGTTATTTCTATGTACGGTGCAATCGTCAGGTGTGGACTGAAAAATTACACTCAGGGTGGTGTTACCGTTGAGGAAGAAAGTGGACATTTATATTATCATAAGTTTTAGCTCTGTTATTATGCATCGAGCCCTGTTTTATTAGCATCTCCTCTGAATGTGCGATACTCCAACTCTTTTGAACGAGAGTAGAGGTTTATCTTTTTTTTTCTGTTTAAAACTGGGTTTCCGGTTACTTCCAAAAGGTTTTTCATTCTCTTTCACTCGCACTTGTCCCTGAATCTTAGTGGC